CAGTTCGTGTTTAGGATTAATAATCCCAAAATTACATAAAAAGCTGAAGCTATAGCTTGCAGTAAGAAGGTCCTTCCTTTAGAAGATGGAAGGCATGAATTAAAAGATGAACACTGAATATACATATATGTATATACATACATGAAAAGAGCCAGGAAACCCTCTGTGCACAATCTTTCTTCATTACCTGGTATTATGGCACTTCCCTTCTGAGCTCCCTGGTGCCATTTTCCAGCAAAATCACGACCAGAGGGGACAGGTACACTATATTCCTGGGCTCATTTTCTGTTCAGTTGTGCCTTTTCTACCAAGCACTTGTTTTGCTGACCATGAACATGGGAATAATTTTTCCTTTTGCTGTTACTAAACCAGTATGTTTCAGGGGAGTTACTATGCCCTGTCTTTGAAACCTTTTGAACTTTTTTTCCTAAAGGTAAAAAAACACAACTTGCTAAACTTTGGAGAAAACATGGTAAGAGTTTCCAGAAGAAAAGTTTCAGCTATTTGGAAGATCAAGGTGTACAGCTTTCTTTGGTTGTTTTTCCCCTTTGATTTAAAATATTATGTACAAGATGTTAGGGCTGTTTGCTCTTAATGCTTTAGTTCTCTAGTTTTTGTGCAAGCAGGTGAAAGCAAAGATGAAGCAGAGAAGGCTGACAATTTAGAAGGCTGCAATATACTCCAGCACTATTCTTCTGAGTGAAACAGATGGCTTAAATAGCCACAAGGTGGTAATAGTGCTCTTCATGGAAAAGCTCGGGTGTGTTTAGCAGAGCAGGGTTAGCTCTACAGAGATGTCTGATTTGCAAAGAATGATAATTACAAAGAGCAGAAGTGCTTTTGGAAATGAGGAAGTGAAAACTTGTAGCAGAACACTGCGTGCTGGCTAAGAGAGAAATGCCCTGGCTCAGGGAAATGAGAGAAATGTCCTGTCACACTGACAGTAAACTGTGATTTAAAAAACGTTCCTGCAGAGGCAAGACAAACATCAAGAGCATCATGGGAATAAAGGCAGGTGATAAAACCCACAAGAGTCTTTCAGTGGCTGTCTGGGTAAATTGCCAAGGTTTTAGTGAGAAATAAAGGGGGAAATACCACTCATAAGTTTTGCATTAGAAATAAGTAAGCTTATAGCTCTTCTGGTTTGAGCTGAGGTATAGTTGGTTTTGTTCACAGTGGCTAATATGAGGCTGTGTTTTGGATTTCTGCTGAACGAAACAGAATGTAGAGCTGTTTTTGTTATTGCTGAGCAGGACTTACACATTTCAGTACTTAAAAGCACAAGAAAAAATCCTATATATATAAAAACCATATTTATTTATATACATTTGTTTTATGTAAGGCAAACCTATTGATTTAGAGAGTAATAAATTTGGGCTTGTAGACAGTGTATCAGTCCCAGGCATAAACTAATTGTCTGATCATTCACATAAACCAACAGAAACATTGCTGATTTAGAACTGTTCTAAAACATAGCATATATCTGTGGATTCCAAGGAACACCCTAGTGTTAAAGTTACATAAAAAAAAAAAATCCAGACAATGGATGAGTGCTATATTCATGCAGAATAAAGACTATGACACATGCAAAGTGACACTTCAATTTCTGATCACACAGCTCAGCAATTACTATGTGGGCAAGCAATTTCATTACAAGGTTTTACTTACTCTAAGATGATACTTGAAGAACATTATTGCAATGCAATTTAAAATTTATTTCACATCATTTCACAAAGGAACTGTAATTCTTCTTGTGTCCCACTTAAACTGTGCTAGCTATGGCAGACTTTACAGCACAGTGTTCTACACAGGCTGGAACAAAAGGAAAATTATGAATTTAAATTTTACCATCACTTCTGAGTCCAGACTTTTAAATCATCTTGTGTAAAGTCAAGGCACTATTTCCACAACTAGCTACTACCGCCACTAAAAGTTTTAGAATAAGGCTTTTTATCCTTGGCCAAATAAAGAAGAAGGGTTGCATCAATTGCCTATGATGTTTAGATCATTGAATCATGTGAGTAATAGTTCACTCATCTTCTGCTGTCTAATCCATTGTTAGTGGATGCTCTTCGTGCTCCCCTCACCAAAAGGACTCAACTCAAATTGCTGCCCATTCGTGAGGGAGTTCATTTAGTCTGAAGAAACAGACTTTGCAATGATGTGACTTTTATGCTTGTCATCTCTGCAGAAGGCAGCAAGTCAGTAGAAAAAAAAGCAAATCACACTGCCTTGACCCACAGCAATTTTCTTCTGTATTGGTACAAAGAGATTCCCACTTAAGCAAATAATAGGAGAGAGTATTTAGTCTGCTTCATCATAAGGCTTTCGTTTTTCTCCTCACCTCCTTAAAAAGACCTCACAGATGCTGTTTCTTCTCAATCATATTTTAAAAAAAGTTTTAATTATAATTTTGTAATCTTTTCTTTCTCTTGTGACTTCATTGACCCATTTAAAGATCTCATTTTTAACCACTCTAAGGTTTACAATGCCTCTGTCTGTAAAAGAGCTAACGGTGCAGTGGCCTTCAAGTCTGAAAAAAGGGAGAAACCAGACAAACAGTGGGGTGTCCTACACTTCATTTGAACTCCTTGACTCCTTCTCAGAACAAGGACCTCTCATTCTCAGGAGGGCCAGCTGCAGCAAGAATAAACAACTTTTAGCTGGGCCAAGGCAGAGTCAGATATTAGGACTGGGCAATGGGCATGCAGAACTGCACAGCATGGATTTACCATAAGGGATGGAACAAAACAAAAATTTCTTAGCCCACCAACTTCAGTCCTTTGCTTTTAGTAACAGTGAGCTCATATAATCCCTTTACTTGTTAATAAGACAGAACTGTCCACATGTTGAGAAATAAAAAAAATGTTTAGCATAAGTAAGTTTTAAGTAGAACAAGTTACACGGATCTATAATACTGTGTGATTTAGTACATTCTTTGCTTAGCTTTACCTGTTCAGCAGGAGTAGTGTGATTTGCTGAAACCTTAGGCTGCAAACTGTGAGCTCACAGTTTCCATACGTTTTCATATAGGAATAGAGTTAATTTTCTCACTAATTTTCCAACTATCTGCTACAGTGCTGTGTTTTGTCTTTAGTATGAGAAGGAAATTGCCAACACACTCACATTTTGGTTGTTGCTAAGTAATGTTTATCTTGAGTCCAGGTTTTTTTAGTTTCCCATGCTCTACCAGCAAGCAGCTGCACCAAGAAGCACAAACAAGAAGATTAGGAAGCTATAACCATCAGCAGGAGCTGCAACCTGGCAAAACAAGGACAAGGTATGACCTGCCTACATGAACACAGAAAAAATAATCCAATAAGGTGTTAGAATTTCCCACACCAAAAATTACCAAGAGGTACATGCAAAGTGCTTGAAGAGTAGAGAAGAGGTGAGCACATGAGTTATAAGGGTAAAATTGCCTTAATTATTTCTTTGTTCTGGGTCCCTCTGCAGAGGCACCTGACTCAAGCTGACCTGCTGCCATACCATGCTATTGAATTATTTATTTTTATAAATCCAGTGCCTGAGATCCTGCTCCTGGGGACCCAGGGTCAAGTCTACAGAAGGAGGAAATGCAAAGGGACTCAGGTCACAGCAGGTAAAGTCTGTGGTGGTCTATGTGAAACTGCACAGGTAGAGGCTTCTCCTTTGACATAAATGTTATTCCTCACTGTGTCTATGCATACTCAAATTAGGCCACCTGGAAAAGGCTAAATCAAACAACAGCTCTGTGGAGTTCATTCAGGATTCGACATTTCTGACAGAGATTAAAGGGGATGTGGGTGCCCTCGGCTCTTTTCCTTATAAAAGCATATTCTGTATAGGTAAATGCCACATCTTTCTCCTGTGCAGTGAATACATTGGTATTGTGCCACATTATGTTATTAGAGTTCTTATTGTTCTGAATTGGTCATCCCAATAGAGATGCTGTGAAATAGCTAGTTCACAGAAACCAATTTAAAAAAGTTGTGTCTTCCTTTGTCATAACTCATCTGATGTTCCTTCTATGTTCATCACAGTAATATAATCAACCCCCTTTCAATCCAACATTAAGAGTATCAAAAGAGAATTAACCTAAAGAAGAATTTATGAGTGGATACTGAGGAAAGAGCTGCCAATTCCATGTATTAATTAGGTTATCATTAGCGTGTGGGATGGATTTAAATGGATTTAAATGAGATTAAAATTTTAATAAATTATCAAAGCTGTGACTGAAATGACCTATGGGAGCTTGTTTGGACAAGTTGTTACAGATCACTACAGCTTGCTTAAGAAAAGACAAGAAAGAAAAAGAAAGAGTTCTTCATTTTCAGCACTTCAGCTAGACAACACTTCTGTGGGAAATTTGGGAGGAAGATATTCCTGTATTTCCCTCACCTTTGATATTTTCTCTGTAGCCAGGCCTGCCAACAGAGAAATAAAAATGTAAGCTGTGCTGAGCTTCACTTGTTGCAGTTAAGACGCAGAATGTGATCTCATTTCCACTATTTACAAGTGTTCTACCACTGCACAGAGTGTCACCTTGTACATCAGCACACAACATCCTTAAAACACATGGGGAATGCCTGACATTTAGTCAGCTTCTGTGTTGTGATGTTTTTTCATTTCAGGTACAGATTATTTCCAGATCTCCGAGGGTCAACTATCATTAACTACCCTGATACAATGGAGCCTGGCACATAACCACAAAAGTAGATTAGGGACCTTATACCTAATTTCCAAAAGTAATCTGCACACAAACACTGTTAGACAGAAGTCTGGGAAAGAAAAAGACCACCTGAACTGACATTTATATATTTTATGATCTCCAGCTATTTTACAGGTTAAATATTTGGGCAGTATTTGAATGACAGGAGGGAGAGCCAGCAGATGTGATAGAATAGCAAGAGTACCATTAGCACACAGCTAAACCCTACCTTTTATCTTACATTTCTGCTTGTAGTCAAGCTTTAAAAACACACAAACATTATTAATTACCTGTTCTTTTACCAGGAAACAGAACTATGCACCTTATTGCAGGGTTTAAAACACCAGTTCTGAGGACTTCTAAGGCTACCAAGTAAGTAGCAGCCTATTTTTCACTGATACTTAAAGGAATCTCCATGGTTTGCAGTCTTCTTCTATTAAGAAGATTCTTATAGTATTATATTCACTGAAAAAAGACAAGTGCTTGTGAGTAATGATTGAGTGGAATGTGAATTTTACTGCTGCTTGACAACAGAATGTCACTGAGTAGGCAACCCCTCTACAAATATCTTTGAAACCAAGACATTTGAATTAATAAGTCACTTGAAGAACAGAGAATGCTACACCTCCTTCAGATATTATTCAGGTGGCATTTGCTCTAGAGCCTGTGGACTATATCTGACCTACTGTTGACTTTTAAGATTTATGTACAATATCTCAGGAAAAATTTCAAGGAGTGAGTGATGATCCAGGAGCCACCCCTGTAATACTATATATCCTCTGTTTTTTCAAAAGTTAGCCTCCCCTAAGAAGTTTTATTCTAGACTGGGACATTACTTCAATGATCTTGGAGCAGTTCAACTTGAAATCAAAACACTTTGAAGATGTATACATGTTAATCCTGAGGTGAATTTAACCAGCCATGGGATGGTTTCATCAAAGTAGGGTCATCTTTGGAATGGAGGTGTTAATAATGCCATATTACAGTTGCTTCTTTCTCATTGGAACAGTGAATGCCAGGATAAAGAATAAATTATTCTTCCACAGCTGTCCCAGGTGTCAGAAAAACCTTATGGAATTGCAGCAAGTTATAATCTTCTCCACACTTTTGAATCATCTGTGCTGGCAGAAAAACAGTGCAGGCCAACAGCAGGTAGCCTAATACCTGTTGCCTTGACCTGGGTGCTGTGTTGGTGGAATAGCTTTCCTGAATTGTTTGCTTCTTGCTCTCATTATTACTAGATGGCAGAAGATATGCCTCTGATAATGATGGACAATATTACAAGCTTATTCTGGAGGATTTTTGCTTTTCAAAAGCAATTTCAAAAGAAAAACTCTACATAATTTCTCAGTATACCAGCTGCATATACACTGCTTTTTATTACATGAAAAGTAAAATACTTTTCTGATGGCATAAGTAGTTCTAACTACATGGGATTATTCACAGTAAAGAGAATCCACTCCTTGGTTTGGTATGCTGACTGAAATCTACAGGATAACAGAGAGAGGTCAGGATTTTTCAAAGTGGTCTGAATTATTCTGCTGCTGCTGCCAGTGCCAATCTGAATTCTCTAAGAGCATAATTCACTAAGCACATGTGCTGTTCTCTTTCCAAAATCAGTGGTATTCTAAGATTTCAGTTATTTGTTGGAAAAAAACGACCCCACCAAGTTAGAAGTTTTGCTATTTTTCTGTGTATCTGAAGTACAGAAGAGGCTGACAATAGTTTAATGCATTTCCCACACCCAAAAGAATAGCAGCAGGATGATGGCAGAAAAGAGAAATCATCAAAATAAGATTTACAGTACAGTATACATACATAAGCTACTTTTAATAAAACAAGACTTCCCTGATGCTTGCTGCAAACTTCTCCTCACGCTGAAAATCAATAATTAAAAAAGTCAACTGAATGTAAATATGTAAAGTGTAAGTTTCTTTAAAGACCAGGAAGTGTTAAATCAATTTGTTCCAGGATGAAACTTCATTTTATCTCATTAAGGTTACATCTGAGAGTTATGAAAGCTCAAGGTTTATTAATATGGCTCATCTTTTCTTCTCTTTGCATTATGCATGAGACAGTATTAAGTAAATTAAAAGCGTATAGCTCCCCACATCCTTTCCAGAATTGTCTGTGGGAAGCACCAGTATTCAAAATATCAGATAAATATGTCTTTGCCATCCTCAGAGAGCTTCCTTCCAAAACCTGTCATAGGATGCAACAATATCCATTCAAATCCATGATGATATTTAGCTTCTCTCTCTTCCTGGGCCTATCAGGTACTAAACTGCTAAAGGGAGTGAGATGTCTCCATGCAAACACTGTCTTTGTGATCACCTGGCACAGCAGATGAAAATTAACTTTTACAACAGTGATCACATGATCTTTGAAAAAAATGTAGCTTTGGATAGCTTCCTGCTGTAGTTGCTGTCCATTGCCCCAGTGCTGGTGGTATGTAACAGAAAAATACAATATTATCTTCCATAGTTTCTCTTCCTGCAAAAAATGGATTTGAAGTTGTTACTCTGATCCCATAAGATTTCTAATTTGTAAGGATTTTAAAAGAGCCCCTCCTTCACCATGAGTATTACTAATAGATATAAACTATATACAACAGTTGCTAAGATACTTGCATAAAAGGAATTTAGTTTAACCTGACATATTCAGGTTTATTCATATTTATATATGAATATATATGAATATATATGAATAGATTCATATTTAATTTAACCTGACGTATTCAGCTGTGTCAATTGAAAAATCCATATTTAGTTGCCAGGATTACCTTTGTCATCAAAACAATTTTAAGCACCACGTTAACTTTATGAGTTTTGCATATGACATATTGCAAGATATATTCCACAACTGAACAGCTTTACTCAAGAGCTAGAAGCATTTCCACCATGGCATGTTGATTCTACAGAATGCAAAATCTGCAAGGAGGACTTAAATCATGCAACAGGCTCTCATCAGCCCCCAGCCAAACACAAACTGCCCCTCTCTCATGACCTAGGGGTACCCTCTGTCTATGAACTTTGACACTGTATAATACCTCTGAAGAGATGAATTTTTCAATATTCCTCCTAGAATATTTAGGTTTTAATTACTTAGTTACATTTACAGGGAATGGCCTGTCCGTCCTTCCTCTGCTGTCCTATTGAACTTCTAACATTGTATTAAAGAAAATGTGAAATGTCAAGTTTCCCTCAAAGACATAAAGAAAGGTGAAAATTAAAATACAAATCAAATTCTATAGCACACAGTCTAGTTAGAATCTGACCCTAGCATTCAGAAGGTTTGCCATTAAATTAAAAAATTAATACCCATTTATTTTCTGTAAAAATAGAACTGTATGAGTTTCTCTAGAACCACTGGAACCAAGAAAACTGCACTTTGGCATGAAAAAATCTACTTCAAAGACAGACATCTAATACTTTCAAAGTACAGAACACAAACTCATTCATGTATTTCAAATACATTTCTTCCATACTTGTTAAGGCATCTAAATGCAAAAGATCTTTCCCCCTCCCCTCTCCAGACTAAGATTTTATAGCTTCAAACTCTTATTTTGTTTCCATGCTCCTTTCAAATATGAAAACTTCTCCTACGCTGCATCAATAATGTAATTATACCTTAATGTTTCTCTTGTTACAAAGAATTGAAGCATTACACTGCCTTTTACCAGCTTCCTTGCTAGGACACAATACAGAGGGATGTGTTTTTAGCTACAGTAATTACCTTAATTTTGTAGGAACATAAGATTGCTGTGTAATCGGCTATTACTAATGCAATTACTCTGAAGAAATGGCTCACAAAGAGATGTGTCAGGGGTGCTTCTACATCAGCACAGATTGAAGTAATTTAATAATGAGTCACATTTGGTCTCTGAAGTGGGTAATACTGAATGGCAAATATCCACTCTGTAATGGAGATTTATGAAAGCATTATTTTGGCATGTAGTTACAGGACAGCTACTGGGTTTTGCAAATTAACTGTAGACCTCTTCTCTTTCCAAACATATAATTTATGTTCTGCTTGAGACCCCAGCTGGGTTCAGGGTGCCTTTCTGCGAGGTACCTGGTCAGGACCTGGTATTCCTTCTTCTTTCAAAAGCCCAAGTCACAGCTTGCCAAAGTAAATGAGGAGACTTTGTGTGAGTTATGGACTCATAAATGACAGACTACAGGAAAACAAGGTGGAGGTAGGGGCCTGTCAACCCTCTTCCAAGAGTCCTCACTTAAGAAGGCTCTTGACAACACGACTGACTTTACTATTCAGCATTCACTCAAATATTTTCCTGAGTTAAAGCCATGGAAATTCTGTGAGTAGCTCAAGAGCAGCCCAGAAGCATGTGACAGTACAAAAGTGAAAGATCTTTAAAGTCCCTCTTTAGCTGCTTAGCCCCACACCATGTAATTTCTGTCTGTAGTGTGCAAATAACTCGTAAATTTTTAAACTTATTAGCTCGTCTCAAAAGGCCTGACATGGCTTAAGTAGTTATTGACTATGATTAAAAAAAAATCATCACAGTGAATAAACAGTATAAAATATGCCAAAGCAGGTTGCCACACTGCAACAGATGGAATGAAAACCATTTGGGTAAAGATCAATTAGTCACAAGTAGCTCTACAGAATGAGCTAACTTACTATGGCTTTACTGCAGAAGCAGAAACACAGACACACCCAGAGTACCAAACACACACATAACTGTCACTATAACAGGTACAGGAAGCCTTTCCTCCCAACTTTTTTTTGCTATTCCTGAAACTGGAGAACATTAACTGAAATCACCTAATCATAGGTTTATGTTTAAAACACAGGTTTATGTTTACTGATGACAGTACAGTTTTGTCATTCAACAAGAAACGACTGCTCCCCCTAATTGTGCAGCATAATAGAATTAAAGAATATAGTAATTTTATATCAGTACAAAATCCATCACTTTCAGCAATATTAATTGAAAAGGTATTTATATATAAGGCCTGACCTGGCCAGGGTTAACACAACAGGTTGTGAGAAAGAATCAGATTCTGCAGATAACAGAAGCTGGCCAATGTGGGGCTATATTAATATGACAGTAAAAGGAGAAAATGTCTAGATAAAAAATACTGAAAGGGAGTGTCCTGAACTCCTTTTGAGTGAGGAATGAAAAGATCTACTGAGGTCACTAAAAAGAGGCTAAAACCGCCAAGGTAGGATGCAACCCCTGGCCCCCAACTCTTCAAACAACAAAAAGAAAAACAAATCCCAAACTAAATACAAAGGCTAATAAAACAGGGAGTATTAAAAGTATAAAATGGGGATGAGCTATTTATTAGGGAGGGAGAAACAAGGGCACCAGCTTTACAGGTTTCTGCCTCATCAGAATGACCTGG